AAAACTGTTTTTGGAGCAGCACTCCAGATTTGTTTTTAATATTTAACTTTGCACTCATTTTAAGTCTTGAACTTGCTTTCAAAAAATGGTCGCTGAACCCTTAGAAATGCCTGGTTAACTTCATGGGAGCTACTCAAGCCCCGTATACCCCTGGAAGTTTACTTTGCAATATCTAACTGTCAAATCCATCGCTTGAATTTCCTGTTATAAGCAAATGTTGGCTGGTTCTCAAAGATCTCCGCAGAATCTCCGTGTTTCTTCTGGCTGCCCGCAAAGCGGTTGTCCGCAAAGTGGTTGCCCACCCTTCTTTTGCAGCAAGCTTGCTCTCCGTTCTATGCAAAAGCAAGCTTGTAAACCGCGAAAAAACAAAACAATCTTTTCTGTAGAGCTGTTTTTTTAATCAGAGTCAACAGACGGATTCACCTTGATTTCCGCAAAACAATCGCAAAAGTATAACTAGAAGACAACAAAATCATGAATATTAACTATCCACATGGCAATCCCGTTCGAGAACACATTTCGCTTGTGCAGTTTTCGTACCATATTCGACATAAATATGGAGAATAGACCGGTTTTCACATGAATATTCGAGTGATGTACTCTGTTCCCAATGTTTTCCGGCCGCAGCGGATTCGCAGCCAAGGGGGGATTAAAACGGAACTGGTTAGTACAGTATTTACAAGTCAATTTGCATATTGTTGATTACCATTCGACTGTATAGGGTATAAAAGGAAGGGAGTGGGAAACGGGAGATTTCTATGCGGGTTATTAGGTCATCTTGAACTTAAATTTAATTTTTTTGGGTTTCGCCTCAGGCAATCTTTTTGAATTTTGTCACACGCAATTTATATAAGCCAGATTTGAATTTATGAAAATTTTAGCCCTTGCTTTACAGGGTCTTACAAAAAACGTGAAGGAAAGTGGAAGGCTATAACTTCGCGGAGGCGGCGCAGAGACTTCGTATTTGAAATATGTATTTTTAAAAGACATAAGTTTTTCTCTACCAAATAACAAGCTCTTAAAGTCCAAACTGAGGTCGCTACGACCTTCTGAAGTAGAGGCATCTCTACCCCGAAAACCAGGTTTTTTCGGTTGAAAATGATCGAGAAATTTCGGACTTTTTCGGTTGAAAATCACCAGGAAATGTTGGATTTTTTGGGGGTTTCTTGATATAGTCTTTAAGAAAACGTCGAAAAAATTGCAAGTGTTGGCACTTTCCTCCTCTTTTTCAACATCACCCATATCGAAACCCCCCAAAAATCCGACATTTCCTGGTGATTTTCAACCGAAAAAGTCCGAAATTTCTCGATCATTTTCAACCGAAAAAACCTGGTTTTCGGGGTACAGATACCTCTACTTCAGAAGGTCGTAGCGACCTCAGTTTGGACTTTAAGAGCTTGTTATTTGGTAGAGAAAAACTTATGTCTTTTAAAAATACATATTTCAAATACGAAGTCTCTGCGCCGCCCCCGCCGGAAGTTATAGCCTTCCACTTTCCTTCACGTTTTTTGTAAGACCCTGTACAATGGCAGGCGAGAATTGCAACGATCTTTACAGTAATGACCAGACCAAAAACTTTTTTGTTTTTTGGCTTATTTGGGTGATTTAGTTTGCGACAGTTGTCATCAAATGACTTCACACTTCTTCTAGTGGATCATTCTTTAACGCTGAAAAATTTTAGCTCTTGCATTGCAAGGGCAGTTGAGCATTGCAACGATCTTTGTAATTATCATATAGATAATTACAACAAGATATGGAACCCTGTTTTTTTTTTGTTTTTTTCTTAAACATCCGTCACGACTATGACTATGCATATAGTACCATAGTTCTTTTAGATTAAGGCTCTGATAGACATGACCAAAAAATTTTTTTAGGACCGCATTTTTTGCGAATTTACTTTTATCCTTCTTTTTACCACAGTAAGTAATGTATTTACAAAAGAACTTACTTTTTCCGCGCCAAATTGGCATAGCTATGGCCAAGAAAGTTCTTTTCCTTTTTGACCGCTCTCCGCATAGCAATCGACTTGTTTTGTCGTCTTTCTCGGCTTCAAAGATCTTTCAATATCTGCCCCTAAAATGCGCTAACTATGCTAGAACTTTCAGCAATTTATATGTGGCCTACCGCGTGCAAAAGTTATAATAATCCGAGCGTCGCACACTTGAAGAATTCCCCTGTTATAATGCTGAAATCGCTTTATTTTCTGCCGAAGACGTTCGCAGAACCTTCTCCACACTTCGACGCAAATTTTTCGCATCGAAGAAATGGGGGAATGAGGTGTTTGAACGACAAACGTTTCTTCCATTTCTCCACTTCTTCCATTCTTTGTACTGATAAAAACGGATGGACTTTTCGGGTCAAGAACGAGAATTTCTTCATCTCTTTGGGCCTGATAATAATTTTATTTTTATAAATAATGGACTTTTGGGGAGATTTTGAGTTTATTTTTTCTAACGTGTATTTTGGGCGTCTTTTTTTTGATTTTTGGGAAAATGCGAATTTAATATTATTTATTTATTTCTTATTGGAAAATTTATTGTAAAATACAAGCTTTGCTGATATATTTCGCAAAATTTTGAGTTATCTATGGGTGAAAAAATATGTATTTTTTGTTAAACTACGGATGCGTTGACTTACTTTTCTAACGTTTGTAAATGTTTTTTCTTTTATGAAATGTGACACTTGAATGTCCCAGCTAAATTTTTTTTTTGATTGTAGGGTAAGATACGACATTACTTTTCTGAAATTTTTTGTAAGATACGAGTGTTTTAGATTTTCCCGGGATTTTTCGATTATCTTTGGGCCAAAAAAAGTTTTTTTAGGTAAAATACGTTAATTTTGCTTTTAAAAGAATTCTTTTTGATTGATCTAAATTTTGAACAGCCTTAATTCCGATCGCAAAAAACGCATAATTTTGCATCCGAGAAGTGTCAAAAATGCAGCAAAATATCTTCTTTTAAACACTGGTTGTTTACTAGGCTTCCTTCTGGGTTTAAAAGCAATCTTAGGACCTTTAATGGGAGGTTATAAAGCCAAGGCCATTTTTACTAAATGATGGCAAGCTCATGCCTTATAAATAGTATTATAACAAGTGATGACCAGCCATGACTTGTGTTTTGAGCTCTAAATCTTGTGCTTGTCATCTTGGCACAAATCAGAAATCAAAAACTTCCGAGATGAGAAGAAAAATTGCGAAATACCCCGGATTTTGACTCTCTTTCACCTACCATAACCCATAACCTCGGATTGCTCGACAAACCCATGGAATAGAAAAATGATGACTATGACTTGTATTTTATACTCTGAGTTTTGTGCTGGTCATCTTGGCACAAATCAGAGGTCAGAAATTTCCGAGATGCCATTATTTACGGGAGAGGGAACGAGGTTTGTGACTGAGATGGATAATAGAGTGCTGTGTATCCCATATGGCAGGTTGGTTATAAAGGGATGACACAATGGGGGTTTTATGCCATTTAGAAGTTTGTTTTGAGATGGAAAACGTTTTCTGTCTACAGTGTGGGACATAATTATAACCGGCTTTAAAAATTACTGTAACTTTTGTGTTTGAAAATAGAACTGTTTTATATTTGGCACAAATATTAAATAGTATACTATAAATTTGGTGTAAAAAAATTATTTTTGAATTCTTTTCATAACCTTGGAAAAAAATATGAGCTATCAGACTGTCGGGAAAATAATGAGCAGTCTAATAGCATGCAGCGTTAGTGTCGAATATCCTAAATTCACTGTGCAAAATGATGATTTTTAGGTCGAAAGGCACTATGCAAACCGCTTTTTTGCGCTGTTCACAGCAACACAATCAAGTCGCGCTATGCAAATTTTAAGGTCTTTTTGAACAAAGTACCAGTCTGTCGGGAAAATAATGAACACAATTTCGCTGTGCCGGTCGTGTCGTTGAAGTGAAAAAAATTTGGTTTTGCCGCGACACAACTCATTTTTTCGGCGGCGATGCGATTTTAGCTGCGACAGAGTGCTCATTATTTTCCCGACAGACTGATTTAACAAACAATATTTTTTCCCCACTTGCAATTCTGCACCGACATTCCATTCATTGCATTATTTTACACTTCTTTCCCACTTTACAACGACTTTTCTCAGTAAGAAAACTCTGATTTTGTTACAAAAAAAAAAAACAGAGAAAAAATATCCGAAAATTTATTTGTTTGACCTTCAGAAGCCCTGATTTTTTCCAATCGTTCTGTTTATGGTCAGCAGTTTTGTCGCCTTGCAAACTCAGCGTTCTGCAAATTATAGGACAAAACGGACTTTTTTTTGGTTTTATCAATTCTTCTCAGCCTGAAATTGCTGGCACCGGTCGGCAATTTTTGTGATATTGAATATTAGACTAGACGGAAAATTTGTTGGTTAGAAAGTTGGTGGTCTTTTTGGGGGGTTGCAATTTTTGGATAGCGCGATTTTTTTTGATTTTTTTGGTAAAAAAAGAATTTTTTGGAGTAAAATTTTTAGTTTTTTAATAGTTTTTTAAAATATAAAAACATGAACTTTGTCAAACTTTTTTTATTTTTAAATATTTTTTTCAGTTTTTGGTCTTTTTAATATTGTTTAAATTTTTTAAAAAATAGTAATTCAAAAATTGGACTTATTTTTTTTGATTATTTACATTTTTTTCAAAATTTCATTCAATTTTTTTTTTTATTTTTTTCACAAAAATATCGGTCAAAAATTTAAATTCCCAAAAAAAAAAAAAAAAAAAAAAAAAAACAATCTAATTTTTTTCGTCTTTTTTTATTCTGATTTTTTCCAAATTTCACACAATAAATTTCTAATTTTTCCTTTTTTTCCACAAAAAATCGGTCCAGAAGATTGAAAATCCCAAAAAAAAAAATCAATTTTGTTTTTTGTGTGTTTTTTTCATTTTTCCATTTTTCGCGAATTTCCCCATTTTCCCCAAAAAACCTCAAAATTCACTCCAACTTTTTCACTTTCCAGGATCGAAACTGGCGACCAAAACTTGGACTATGGCCCCGACCCCTGCCCGTTCCTTCAACACGCACGCGCTGGACAAACTGTCTTCAGCGATTTGGGAGCCGGAAACAGCGATGAGCATAACACCGATGCGCAAGTCGAAGATCATTTTGCTGGGCAATTCGGGGGTGGGGAAGACGAGTCTGTTGTACAGTCATAAGTATGGGCCGGATGTGACCCCTTGCAGTGCGACGATTGGAGCGTCTTATGTGAATTGCGAAATGTAAGGAGGGATTTTTGACAAAAAAATGGAATTTTTTGATTTTTTGGGCTTTGAGGTGAATTTTAGAAAAATGATACTTTTTGATACCTTTTGATACTTTTTGGATTTTTCAAAATTTTCGGGCTTATCTGGGACTTTGAGATTTTAAATGGTTCACGAATTTTCTGAAATTTTCGTTTTTGATACCTTTTGATACTTTTTGGATTTTTCGGATTTTTTGGGTTTTTTGAACTTTCTAGGCCTTCAATAACTATGATTTATCCTAAATTTCAAAAAAAAATCTTTGTTTTTACCTCACCAAACACCTAGTACAAGGTATATTGATCCCAATTTGTTTTCCCAACCCCTCAAAAACACCGTCCTCAGCAAATTTCGTACTCCCGGAAAAACAAAGAAACCTTGCTCTTTAGCTTTCTTATTAGTTTTTTGTTGTTTTCCCTCAATTATTTTTTACAAAAAAACATGATTTGTCAGCAATAATACGGTACGGAAAACAAAGAGAAATTTCAACGAAACGTTACGTCAAAGTTAATGTAAAAAATGTTTCAAAAGGTGATAAGAATGTATTTTAGGACCGTGCAAGATGACCCAATTCAACTGCAGATCTGGGACACAGCTGGCCAAGAGCGATATCGGTGTATGATTCCGATGTATCTGCGAAATGCGATTGGCGCCATATTGGTTTATGATATTACGGACAGACGCAGCTTCGATGAAATCCACAAATGGCTACAGGGTAAGGAGATGTGCTGAATTTTTGTTTGGCAGTGATTTTTGACGATTTTTTTTATAAAGTATGGGAAGAGGGGACCATAGTAAAAATTAGAATTTTTGTCGTATAAAACGTCACCGTATGGCGAAAAATGGGATTTTTTGACATTATATTCCATAATGAAGCAATCATTACTTCTAAATCCTGCACTTCTGCAGCCATAGAGACATCTTATACGATGAAAGCTTTTTTGCGTATAAAATGTCACGATTATTCAAGAAAATCTGTATTCCCAGAATTTTGACAGTAATACAGTATGAAATGACAATTTCTGTCAAATCAGCAGTTTTAAGAAAGCTTGGGTGACATTTTATACGATGAAACCTTTCATCGTATAAAATGTCACTTTTAAAAAAATTGCCGTTTTACGGAAAGTTGGCTGTTAGCCGATCCACGGGCACACTATTTAACATTTTTCATAAAAAATCTTTGCATTTTTACCATGGTAAATTTAAAAAATCTCAAATTTCCGCTTTTTCAGACCTCGAGCGGTACGCGGTTCACGCTCCCCTCCTAATGTTGGTGGGAAGCAAAGCAGACATGACCGAGAACCGCGAGGTGTCCCGGCTTGAAGGCGAAGCCAAAGCCGCCAAACTCCAAGCCCAATTCTACGAGCTGTCCGCCTTCGACCCCAAGTCCATCGACAAAATGCTGTACGAAATGGCGACGCGGATCCACGAGCGCCAGATGCTGGAGCCGCCCGAAACGAAGCAGGTCGAGCTGATCCGAGTGCAGCCGTGGCGCCGCTCGCCGCTGCATTCGCCCACCTCCTCGGGGCAAATGAGTCCCACCAGCTCGGAGGATTACATTCTCTCGTCCAATGCGTCGTTCGGAACGCTGGCGTCGAATGAAGGCCGACGAGCGGAGGAGCACGATGAGGAGGAGAAAACCGCACCGTGCTGCTCGATCATGTGATTCGAGGGTTTTTTTTGTAGAAAACGAAGTTTTCGAAAATTTCGAAATTCACTGGTTATCATTGTTAATTGGGAAATTACTCCAGGTGTGAGCGGCGGAGTTTGCTGAAATTTGGCAAGTAGATTCTATATAAGTTGAGTAACAAACACTTAATTTTTTAGCCAACACTTTGCAGCGGGAGCTGAGATATTCCACTTTTTGCGAAAGACCTCGTAGAACGAGGAGAGGCCGGAAAACATTTTTTCTTTTGATTTTTTGAGTACTGTCCTGGAAAAAATTGACTTCATGGATCTTCTAGACGATTTGCAAAGTCGCTGAAGTGATTTTTGCGACATGCAATGCGCAAAAAAAGTCACGGTGCAAGCGACAATCGACGAAAGTTTATTGCACGGTGCAAAACGGAAGAAATTGCACAGTGCAAAGAAACCTTTTGTTTTCTCATAGTTTATGTCGCCAAAATCACTCTAGAGACCTTGTAAAGGAATTGTAGGAAGATTGCTTGCCTTGCTAGCAACAGCAGTTGAATTTTTCAAATTTTAAATTGCAAAAATTTCGATATTTTTTTTCAAATTTAGTGCAAAAATTTTCAAAAAAATTTTAAAATGAAATCTGAAAACCTCATATTTCCCTTGAAAACCCCTGTAGAACATTCTTGCCAAATCTCAGCAAAATCCGAGGCTCCAATTTGGAGTAACTCCCCTTTTTAGTTGTTATTCAGGCCAAAGGACTTGGATTTTCATTATTTCTTTTCATTTTTCCACTAAAAAATCAATTTTTTCTGTGCTTTATAGCTTTCCCAGTCCATCACAAAGTCCTTGAGCCCTTCATTCCTTCTCATCTTTCCCATTTTTCCATTGTTTTTTACCTCTCAAGTTTCGTTGAAACATTCGTGATTCTTTTCGATTCCCGATAAGAAATCTCCTTTTTCTTTTCCTCTCATTTCCGATGATAATATTTATTTGGCCGAGCTCGGCCGGAACACTAGCCATTTAGTCGTAGATTCCTATCACCTCATCCGTATTTTAGAGGCTTATTCGGGTACACTGTATTCTCATTTTATTGCCAATGTCTAGGTTGCGATAGACGGAAAATGGTTGTTATATGAAAATGTTGCGTATAGTCATATTTTTTATTGTTTTTGAGAAATAAACGTTGATATTATATCTGACAGCATGCTTTTGATAAAAATTGGTTTTGGTGACATTTTATACGACAAAAGATGTTTTATCTTCGAAACACGTTTTGTGATATAAAATGTCACCCTAAGTAGCTGAAAAATCGCAAACTTAAGAATTCATTACTGTATAATTCCCCAGAAGAAGCATAGGTTGCATTTTATACGACCGAACATGTTTTATCTCCGACACACGTTTTGTCGTATAAAATGTCACTTAAATCGCTGAAATTTTTAACTTCAAGAAAATCCATTTTTGTTCGATTCCCCAAAAAAACATCGGTGACATTTTATACGATAAAAATGTTTTTTCTTCAAAACATTTTTCATCGTATAAGATGTCACCAACCCCAAAAATTCACAAACCAACTGGCAAGAATTTAATTCATCCGGGCAAAACTGCAGATATATCTAAAGAAAATGATATTTTATACATGATATGTGATCGTATCTCGATTATTTTTTCATTCCTTTGTCAAAGGCAGAACTGGCGGCTCGATTGTGCTGAATGCTCGTTTTTTCTGCGGCTCTGGAGAATTCTTGTGAATCGAGTGCTCCTCTAGGCTAATCTTGGAGCGAGTCAACGGAGCGGCGTGGAGAATTGGGTGGGGCAAGCGGGGAATATCACTGAAAAGCAATTGTATATGTTATAACTGACTTCAAAAATAAAGTTTAACGGCTTAAAGATCGAAGTACTCCTCACCGAACAATATTTGAGGCCTTCAGTGCGGCTAGAAAAGCGGGCACAGTGATTTGAAGGTATTTGCAATGAGTGGTAACTGTTACTGTAAAATCCGGGATGAATTGCACGGCTTCGTTGTGGCTGTTGTACAATGATCTTGTCGAGCCTTTGAACTTGGTCACAGAGACATTTCCCTAAAAAAAATTTAACTATGATCCATCAAGGGTCGGAATTTTTGTATACTTTTCATCGTATAAAATGTCACGACTTGATGAAAAGTGGTTTTTGGTATTGGGAAATATTTATTATATTACATGTGGATGAATAGAAAATAATCAAAAAACAGCAAGCATTGATTTCGGCGACATTTTATACGATGAAAGGTGCATAATTAAATTTTGGATTACAGATTTTATCGTATAAAATGTCGCCCATTTCAGCAAAAATAATTTCAGACTCAGTTTTAGATACCTATACGTTTTCCAAATGCAATATTTCGTAAGAAAACAAAAATTAACTGAAAAAATTATTTGTCGTATAAAATGTCACCCCCAAAGAAACTTAATAATCAATCGCCTCATGATCCTACAGACTATTTCTCACCTGAATCGCATGCAAAATCGCGGTTCCGAACGCCTCCCACGGCCCCACTTGGAATTTCATGTTGGAATCCGCGAATTCGGCGCTAGCTGCGCCCTCAAGAATCAAAATAAACCTCCGCGAAATGACTCCTTGAGTGTACAAATCCAAATGGTGGTGCTTATGATGACGATCCAACACGGACTCGCGACTAAAATCGACCTGATGCAAGTTGTTTTTGATGAGCTGAACCAAAGCGCGGGTCTCCAAGAATTGCTCCTGGAAGACCGGGAAATTGGAGCGAAGCCAGTTGGCAATAACTGTGATCGCCGACACTCCAATACTCTTCAATTCCGTGTCGATTCCGGCGTCCACTCGAGAGACCTGAACAGAAAAAAACGCTTTACATTGTTACATTGAAGGACAATAATTTAAAAAGCCGAAATGTTAAAATTTGGCAAAAAAAAGTTGCCCAAGCAAAAAACTTAACCGCGTAATACAGAAAATATAGTGAGAAATTCAAAAAAAAATGGTATTTTAAGATTTTTTTAAAATTTTTTGTGAAAAATTTTGGTTCCAAAGTCATTTTTAGACCGAAAAAACTGATTTGTAACCAATTTTTTAAGCCGCGTTATGCAGAAACAAAACAAAATGGATTTTCCAAAAATTTCATTTTTCGAAAAATGAAAATTTTTGATGTATTTTACATCTTTTTTCAATTTTTTTATGTCGCGTTATGCAGAACCAACAGCAAAAACATAAACAAATTTTTTAAAAATCTCAAAAAAAATTTTTTTTATTTTTTTGAAAAACTCACTTTTCTCGCCCTCTTCTGGCGATACCGATTGTCAATAATCGTGTCGCTTTCATCGATAATTTCAGCTTGCAAGATCTCCTCCACAATATCCTCCAACGTGATGATTCCAATCGCATTTTCCTCGTCGTCCTGAACGATGGCTAAATGATAATCACCGGTTTTGAATTCCTCCAACATGTTGTGGAGGTTTGTTTCGGCCTGAAAAAAACATTAAAAAGAAGTTTCCACTTACCGCCACAAATCTGAGCACATGATTGTAATATTTGCAGACCGTTTGAACGGGAAAGTTGTCTTCCGGATCCAGCAGCGCCAAATCTTGGACAAACAACAGCGACACGATTGTATTTCGATCCATGTCTTCGTAGACCGGGATTCTGGTGTACCCACGCTTCAGGATCTCGCTCACATTCTTCTTGTTCAGCACTGCGTTCGTCGACAACATAAAGACGTCTTCGATTGGGGTCATCACATCCTGCACCGACTTGTCCGCGATTTCCATCGCGCCCACGGCGATTTTCAGATCCTCCGCCAGATCTTGAGTGGTGTCCCATTTGGGGGTCAACTTGAGGAGCTCCAGGAGTTGGCGGCGATCGTAGCCCACCAAGTCTTCGCCCAACAGCCAGTCCAAGATCTTGCCGATCGGATAGGCCAGCGGGAAGGTGATCAGCATCGCGACACGAGTGAAGCCGATCGTGTGAGCGCCAACGTAGAGACCTTTCTGAAAAGGAGAGGCTCAACACCATGGCGGGCCAGATCCATGCGCAAAAAACGTACCATTTAGGATCCGGGAAGTATCAAAAATGCAGCAAAATACCTCCTTCTCCAAGTGAAGAAACTCCGACTTCAAAAGCGCGCCTGCTCTTTTTATTATGAGGAAAAGAGCGCGCCCTTCAAAACGGAGTTTTTTTCATTGCAGTGGGAGGTATTTTGCCACATTTTTGATACTCCCCGGATGCCAAATTGTACGTTTTTTGCCTTGGCGCTCAGCCAAGATATCCAAAAAAAATTTTTTTACAGGAGAAAGAGGAAGATGGGCGGTTTCTCGCCTGAAGAAAAAATTTTCCCCACCAACGCGAGAGTAGTGTACTAGGCGGGCCAAAAAGTCTTGACATGTTTTCGCACCGTGCGGGCGCATGAATTCGGCGTTGCGACGAGGTGTCGCGCGATAAAAACTTTGGCGGGGTGCGAATGAAGAGCGCACAGTGCGTTGTTTACGTTTATCAAAACAATCCTTTTGCACTGTGCGGGGTCGCATTGCACCCTAAATTTTTCTCGTCGCCGCGCGACAAATTGTTTGCACGACGGCGCACTGTGCAGACATGTCAAGACTTTTTGGCCCGCCTTGTACTCGGCGGAGACTTTTGATGGCCTTTTTTGGTCATCACACCAATCTTAGGCACTACACAGAGGAGCTCTGTAAACGGAACCACTTATTATCAGTCTGTCGGGAAAATAATGAGCTCAATTTCGCTGCGCTGATCGCGTCGCTGAACTGAAAAGAAATGTGACTTTGTCACGACACAATTCATTTTCTCGGCGACGATGCGACTTTCGATGCGACAGCGAGCTCATTATTTTCCCGACAGACTGATAATAGTCGGTTCCGTTTTACAGCGCTCCTCTGTGTAGTGTCCAAGATTGGTGTGATGACCAAAAAAGCGATCAAAACTCTCCGCCGAATACACTACTCTCCGCGTCGGTGGCGAAAAATTTTTTTTTGAAAAGAATCTTCTTTCTACTGCAAAAAGATTTTTTTATATATCTTGGCTGAGCGCGGAGAAATGGACAAGAACTTTCCGCGGAAAGGTTTATCATTCCCTACCTTGATACAAACGGATTGCGGAACAATTTCGCCAAATAAGACAATTCCGGCCGACGCCACGACAAAAGCGATCATTCCAGAAGTCAGGTCGCCCATGAGAATGGAAATAGCCGAGTTCACAATCACATTCATGATCAACGTCGTGCACAGAAGGCGATTTCCGCAACGGCGGACCGGCAGAATCGCCTTCGCATAACGGCGTTCGGTTTCGGAGCCTTAAGAAAGGCGTATTAAAAAAATAAAAAAGAAATAAAAATTTAAATTTGAATAAAAAATAAAAAGAAATAAAAGTTAAATAATGTTTAAAAAATTTTAAAATTTAAAGAAATAAAAAAAATAAAAAAAACTTAATAAAAAAAATAAAAAAGATAAAAAATTTTAAAAAATAAAAAATAAAAAAAATAATAAAATAAAAAAAAAAGTTAAAAAATTTAAAAAACTTTCAAAAAAAAAATAAAAAATTTACAAAAATTAAAAAAATAAAACAAAAAATAAACTAAAATAAAAAAATAAAATAAAAAAGCTCACCGGACTTCATGATCAGCTCCAATTCCTGCGGAGACAGCGCCATTAGGCCCATATTCAGGCCGGAAAAGAGGGCCGACAGGCCGAAGAGGCAGAAAATAATAAACCACTCGAGCTCATCGGGCATATAATGAACTGGCGGATCACTCGTGGACATGATCCAGGACCTCATTTCGTCCACGAAAATCATGTCGTCAGGGTCGTCGGTTTCATGGAGAAGGTATGGATTCTCCTGGAAATTGTGGGGGTTTGCAAAAATGTGGATGAAAAATAATTTAGAGAGGTTTTCGTGGTGGGACCAAGAAATATTTTATTCATTTATGGGTCTATATTTTTCTCCCAGAATTAAAAATATTTTTCCCCAGAAAAGAGCATTATAGAAAAACTCCTATTTTCTCCCAGAAAAAATATATTTTCTCCCAGAAAGAAAATATTTTTCCCCAGAAAAGAGAATTATGAAAAAAATGCTATTTTTTCCCAGAAAAGAAAATATTTTCTCCCAGAAAGCATAATTTTGTAAAAATAAAGCACGGAAGTAGTAAAAATTGATGAATAAGTAACTTTACTAGTAAAATAAATTAAGCAGTAGTGTAAAATAGTATCTGTGGTAAGTTTTTGAGGAAATACTGGAAATAGATGTAATCGACGGTGCTGATTTCAAAAATGATTCTCATTTTTTGTGATTTTCACTTCTTTGTGGTCAAAGAGTGCATTGAAGTGTACATCAACAGCCTTTCTTTTTCGCCTTCTGCGCCGGGAAGAACATTCAGATTTACAATAAGAGAAATTCATCCTTATACTCATCGGGAAAAAAGACATTCAAGAATAAAACATGAGAGATTACTACCTTCTAAAAGATAGTGACGTCGAAGACGTAGATACCGTAAAGGTTTAATTCAGCACGACAAGGCAATATGTCAGTTCGAATCCAATATTATGCACTTCTCTGGGACCCATGCATCGACTTGCAATAAAGTTGGAAATCCCACGTTTTTCCAATCTTTTTTCAGATTTTCAACTTCCAGATATTACTTTAGACGACTTCTTAATTGAGTTTAAAAACAAGTAAGAATTATAATGATTTATACAAAGACATGTACGAATGAATGCTTTAATGGTTTATTCTTGGATATCTTTTGTTCCCAATGAAAATAAGGATGAGTTTCTCTTATTGTAAATCTGAATGTTCTTCTTGGCGCTGAAGACGACACAGACAGGTTGTTAGTGCACCCTTTGACCACAAAAAAGTGAAAATCACAAAAAATGAGAATCATTTTTGAAATCAGCACCGTCGATTACATCTATTTCCAGTATTTCCTCAAAAACTTACCACAGATACTATTTTACACTACTGCTTAATTTATTTTACTAGTAAAGTTACTTATTCATCAATTTTTACTACTTCCGTGCTTTATTTTTACAAAATTATGCTTTCTGGGAGAAAATATTTTCTTTTCTGGGAAAAAATAGCATTTTTTTCATAATTCTCTTTTCTGGGGAAAAATATTTTCTTTCTGGGAGAAAATATATTTTTTCTGGGAGAAAATAGGAGTTTTTCTATAATGCTCTTTTCTGGGGAAAAATATTTTTAATTCTGGGCGAAAATATTTTCCCCTTCATTTATTATTATTATTATTATTTTTTTTAAAATTCTTTCTGAGAAAAATGGTCATTTTTTTAATGATTTTTTTTATTTTTTTAGAAAAAATCGATTTTTACGTAAAAAATTTAAAATTTTTCAAAAAAAAAAGTTTTATTTTTTCTTTTTTTCGACGAAAAATCCCATTTTCCCCGAAAAAACCAAAAAAAAAAAAATAAATAAATAAAAAAATAAATTAAAAATACCTTCAAGCAAATTCGATATGGATCTTCGGATTCGGCAAATTTCGTCCGAACTTCGATGATTTTCTCGGATTGCGTTATAAATTCGGTATGAGAGATATTTTGAATGGAATTGAGACAGTTGTCCACGGTGAATGTCACATATTGAACGCGCTCCAACCAGAACCCGAATAAGACTACTTTGACTTCGGTGTCGGGCTCCACTACACTCATACGGGCAGTGCTGGAAATTAAGTTTTTTTAAAATTTCTTTATAAAAAATTATATTTTAGATTTATTTTTTTTTGAAAATCAAGAATTCAAAAAATACAAACAAATATTTATTTATTTTTTTCAAAATTTTTTTATTAAAAAGTTAATTTTTTAGTTGTTAAAAATTTTAAAAATACAAAAGAATATAAAAAAAATATTAGAGATCATTAAAAAAAACATAATTTTATTTTTAAAATACGATGGCTTCATTTATTTCTTGAACAAAATAATTGCCAAAATTAAGAAAAAAACATATTTTTAACAGAAAAATTTATTTTTCAGATTTTAGGTATCAAAAATTAAAAAAAAAATATTTGCATTTTTTAACAAATTTTTCGAAGATTTTTTATCAAAAAGTTATTTTTTGCATTTTAAACTGTACAAAATACAAAAAAAAACAAACTTTTTAAAATATATTTTGTTTTTAAATCTTTAGTTACATCAAAATAGTTGATTTTATTTTTAAAATACGATGGCTTCCATTATTTCTTGAACAAAATAATTGCTAAAATTTTAAAAAAACATATTTTTTACAGAAAAATTTATTTTTCAGATTTTAGGTATCATAAATATAAAAAAATATATTTGAATTTTTTAACAAATTTTCCGAAGATTTTTTATTAAAAAGTAATTTTTTTGCATTTTAAAATGTACAAAATAAAAAACAAATTTTTTAAATATTTTTTGTTTTTTTAATCTTTGGTTACTAAAAAGAGTTGATTTTATTTTTAAAATACGATGGCTTTCTTTTTTTCTTATAAACTAACAATTAAAACTGCTTACTCATAACTGTGAAAGGCATTTGTATGCAGTGGCCATTCGATTCTCACTCCCGAAACATGAGCTCTGACTTTGATGGTGACCAAGTCTTTGGGGTCGATGTTATTCGGATGAACAAATCTTGTCTCTGGCTGAAAATTGATTTAAATTTTTTTAAAATCAATCATAAATTTTTTTAAATATTTTATTTATCTTTAAAAATATTTTTTAAATTTTTTCTTACGCTTAGCGGAAGTTTTCCATGGGCGCACAGTGCAGAAACAAAAATAAAGAAAAGTGTCAAAGATGACGTCATTATGCCATCAAGTTTATTAGCTGAAAAAAAAACAAATAAAAATAATTTGTGAATCATAAAAAAATTAATTTTTAATTTAAAAAATTTCAAAATTTCATCAAAATAAAAAATAAATTTTTTTTTTCAAATAAAAAAATCGTATTTTAGCCAAAAAAATGCAACCAATTTGCAGCGCCATGTGACCAAATTCATGTGCCACGGTTAAAAAGTCGCGGAACAGGAGGAAATAAGTAAAAAAATTGGGGGGAATGGAGACAGAACACGTCCGTCAAGACCTCCAATGCCCTTTCTCCCTCACTTGATCACTTGAAAATATTTCCTTTCATTTGCAAAAAAAAATTGATGGGTAAAAAAGACCGAAAAAACAAAATACAAATATGAAAAGGGGCCCAAGAACCCTCTAGACAGACAATTTGGAAGGGTTCTACAGTATGAACACAGGGGTTTGAGGCAATTTTAAAATCGAGATATTGTACTAGGCAAAAATTTTTGATTTTTGCAAAATTATGGCAAAAATAAGTCGCCAAATCGCTCTAGACGGTGTTATTAGGCATAACGCGGCCATTAGAATCACAAGAAACATGCTTTTCCGATAAATCAAGTCATCAGTTATATTACACTAGACAAAAAATTGATAATTTTTTCGGAATTTTCCAAGTATTTCTTACAAAAAGTCCACCAATTGCCGTTATAATCCATAAAATTCCCGATTGGCATCAAAACAACTCTTATTTTTAACCGAATCGGCACATCAGTTATATTACACTAGACAAAAATAGGTGACAGCATTGTTGTTTTCCATCTAAAGAGATGTGAAATGACGTAACTAATTATAAAATTACACATAAAAGTAAAATATGGCACAATTTTTATTAAATTTGACATAAATTATATTACACTTGATATAAGTCATCATTTTTGGAGAAGTGTTGCCAAATCAAGAAAGACACCTTAAAAAATACTCTTTTGACAATAAGAATCAAAATTCTTATCAAACTTCTACCACCTTTATTATCTACAACCGTCTTTTTAAACTTCCAATATTACACTTGACATTAGGTCTAATTTCCCTCAAAAAACCTGCAAATTCAACCTCAAAGCCAAACAAAACCTCTTCAAGAATACCAGAAATCCAGCATAAATTATTCTGCCTCCCATTTCAAACCGTTAGACATATTATTTCCGCAAATATTGATAAGAAACTGCCCAAAGTGGCTATTATTTGCGCCTCGAGAGCTCAAGTCGGGTCAACTGGACAAAAAAGGAGGCAAAGCCTTCTGTCAACTTGTATTGTAAGGGTCTTCGAGTCGTAAGGGCTCTGTTTTCACTCGTCTCGGTTCTTCAGCAGGCGCTTTTTTGAGGGAACTTTCAAGGTGAAGATCAGACACATCGATAACGTCGGAAATGCAAAATAAAGTCAAAAATTATGGAAATTTGGTCCCAAAATTCTGTCACTGTCACTGAATAGCTCCATGAAGATTATAACTGTAAATTTCGGATTTAAAATCGACAGATTTGAGTCAATTTTATATTATCCATGACATTAATGAGGTTATGCCAAAAAAGAATACTCAACAAGTCTTACAACGTAATCCACCCTAATCATGGCTTAATTCGAATGTGTCCAACCACACAAAAGCCAAATTAGCTACAAAACGTCATAATTTTTTCATACTTCCCGCATTATTGGCGTTTTGCAAAAATTCCTGGCTTTCTGTTGCAAGCAATTTCTTGGCCAATTTTTTGAGAGAAAACTCAAAAAATTGATAGGAGCCTGGTATTCTGAGACAATATCAAGTGATTAACATTGTTTTAATACGTATTTTACCTTATTTTCGGTTATTATTATATGATTTTTAATTATATTATCCATGACGTCTTATTCCTTTGTTTTCAGATAAAAAATGTCCGACATCCCGAGGTCAGTGAAAGCCCCAATCACAATCAGCGAATATATCGAGACGCAGAGAGCTCACGGAAGTTGTACCGAGGAATTGAAAGCAACGGTTGCGAAATGCACGAAAGCCGGGTTGTTTTTGGGGTTGCCATGCGGAATTTGGGTGGGATATGCGTAAGTCGGCTTTGATCATTGTTGTTTGATGTTTAGGAGGAAGGATAAGCCTGTCCGGTACTATAGCAAACATTAAATCGAAGACAAGTCTTAGATTGAGGAAATTTTCCATTTTTTTGGAGCTGCCTAGTGTAATATCGGAATTTGTGTCAAAATGATTCAATTCTCGAGCGGATTGTTGTAAAGTAGTGCAAATATTATACGGAGAAGCTTATCCAATCTTTTTCGACCTTATGTGTTATATAAATCGACCTTTATCCTGAGCTTTTACCATCAGAAGGCATTGAGGTCTAGTGCAATATAAAATTGATCAAAACCTTTACCTTTTCCAGACACCGAGGAATTCCGACTCTCCGTACGATACGACCATTCCTCGGACATTCGATATACATCGCAGCGGTAACTACGCTAACATTCGGAGGGCTTGGTGCAATGATAGGTTCGTACAACTGTCTCCGGGTGGTTCGTGATTAAGTTTGTCCTGTTCATTGTTATTGTTGTGTATTATAGGTGAATAAATCCTCCAAATCATTGTTACAACATTTATCTGGGATAAAAAATAGAGCGTGAATGGGAGATTTAGTGGAACGTGGGTTATCGTGAAGACTTCTTGGACTTTTTGGATTTCTTGTGCTTTCGCTTGCGTCGTTTCTGAAAGTAAATTGGGTTAGAAGGTAGAATACATCATATTAAACACAATTGGAATAAAAAATACAATTTCAACGAAAAAAATTATATTATCCATGACCAAAAAATCTAAAAACTAAACTAAAATCGCAGGAAAAAAATAAGGAAATAGTGTCAAATACACATATAAGAAAGGAAACTTCTATTTCACAGTATTTTCCATCCGGTATTACCTAAACTTCAACAAAAAACTAAAATCTTACCCTCTCTTCCTCACTGTCCTCGGAATCGCTTGAATCTGAGCTGGAACTCGACGAAGATGAGGAAGAAGACGACGACGAATCTTCTGAACTTGACTCTTGCTTTCTCCTCTTCTTATGTTTCTTCCTTTTATCGTCTTTTTCTTCCTTCTTCTTTCGTTGCTCTTTCTTCTGCTTTTTGGCCTCTTTTTCTGCTCGAATCTGCTCTAACAGCTTCTTTTTCAATGCCATTTCGGGATCTTCGTCTTCTTCCTCCTTCAGAGCAGCTTCTGCTTGGTCACCGGGCTTTTTCATACTGAAAAATTAAGAGTAACCAGGGGAAATTGTATTATTCATCCTTAGTAACACAAACAGAACAAAAATTCGAAAAATATCTGTCGCTATGTGTTGCAGAATACGCCCAAACATTACACAAAGCTTCTACATGCTATCTAAAATCCAAACACAAAACATAAGACTTACTTTGCCATCGAAGTTCCTTCAACAAAGTCTGATCGTATCCCGAACGCCTTCCGGAACCGATCCCTTTTATCCTTGGCAACTTTAGCTCGAGAATGGCTGTTCCGAATGTCCAATTCATGGTCAAGGTTCATTCTTCCACTCTCGAATTCCTCGAACAACAATTTTCGGTATTCACCAACTTTTGTGTCAATTTCCTCTTGAGCTGACCCCTGAAACAGAGCAAGGTAATAATACTGCCAAAACAGAGTATAAACCAATTCAAAATCGTTCGGGAAGCCGAAAAAACGTCTTATCATTTGGAGGCTATCTAAAAATCAAGAAAACACTGAAAAAATAGAGACTTACCTCATTTTCCATCAGATCTTGAAGTTCCATACATTTGATCTCAATTCTTCTTTTATATTCGTGATCCAATAGCTCCAAATTTGGCTTCTTGTTGACCTCGGCTTCTGCTTTGGCGATATCGTCTTCTGTGTTGTAGGTCTTCCTTTGCTGAAAAAAAGAAAAGTTCAAAATTATCTTATCCATGGCATTTGATGCCTAACAAATGGTTGAACGTTTCAGCAAAGATTTAGAATACTCTAAACATCGTAAAAAACCAAGAAAACAGTCAAACTTACTCTAGAGAAGTTCAGAGCCGATAAATTCGCTTGAACATAGCCGGATGTGCCTGTCCCTCTAGCTGTTTGAACTCCGATTCCGTTATACATTGCGGTAACTGGCTGGTGACAAAGTAACAGCAAGAAAATTCCACCAGACCGCAAGAAATTTCTTCACAGACAAAAATTTTTCTTCTTTTTGCGAAACACGCAGGGAAAATCAATAGTGGCACTTCGTTGTTGCGGAGTGTCACAAATTATGAAAGGGCCGAAAATGACTGGAAAAAGCTGTAAGAAGATGGAAAGTGTAATTTAGAAGTGATAATGGATCATTACAATCGAAAAATTTGAATAATGACGTCATTATGACATATTTTTTGGAATATATTTTACTATTTATTTTTTGATGACAAAGATGCCCTAAAAAAATTCGAGAACGACCTTCGACTTGTCGTCAGTATTTTTACCTCACATTCTCATGTTTTTTTTCCTTCTTCAACATTTGTTTGAACATGTGTAGGCATCAAACATGCCTGGGAATCTAATTTAATATTCAAATTTTCGAAAATTCGAAAAAATTGCGATGTTGACGCACTCAAAACCCCTCTCTCTTTCATGGAGAAGCCAGTGATAAAAGTGATTTATCCAAATGAGTTTCCTTCGGTCAATCCGAACTGTTATTCGACCACGGGATTGGGGAGGACCGCGCAGTGCTTGTATCCCGGAATGATGGTGGAGGTAAGGCGACTGTGGTCCTTGATATTGCCACAACTTGGTAGAAGTTTTAAAATAGAGCTCGCCAAACAGTATGCCATAGTTTTCGATATTCTTTTTGCTGAAAACTTCAAAATTTTGATAAATTTTTGGATGGTAATTCAACTTTCAACTTTATTGCGCTAGACAAATTGCCTGTGCGCCATGATCGTCCGGTTCGGTGGTGAATCGGTCAGGATTCGTTAGAAACAGTACTGGCACGAAATTTAAATGTTTTTTGTCCTATTGGTTTTAAAAAAAACGAAATTTTTCTTGGTATGAAAATTTCGGGCTCTAATAAATAGATGATGATCGATTTTTTCCGAGTGGAATTCGAGAAGTTACGGCTGACAAAAACTTTTTCGTCTCTCCTAATTTTATGTACTCTCTAGCGCCGTTTAATATCTCCGCTGCTGAAAAGTTACTTTTTAGAAAATTGTAATTTCAATGGACGAAAAGGGTACAAAAAAATTTCGTTACAGATCATGACTTTATTGGCAAACACAATGAACGTTGACATTAGGAAAGTGCCTGCTGGCGTTCCAGAAAATATCACCGATTTGCAAGCCTACGAACTTCAAAGATATGCTGTGGTATGTAGTGACTTTTTCTTCCAATTGAAAAATATTTTCTGGGTTTTTTACAGGAATTCAAAAGATTAAAAAATAAAAATTATACGCATTCAGTCTGTCGAGAAAGTAATGCGGATTTGTCACAGCAAAGTGTCACGCCTTGTCACAGTCGCGCACCAAATCACCAGCCGCGGCAAGCCGTCGGAAAGCGATGATGGGTGATTGCAAGGCGTGACAATTCCACATTATTTTCCCAACGGACTGATAACACAATTTATCTATTTGCAAAATTAAAAAAAAAAGTACTTTGGGAGTCAAAGACCAGGAGTGGCCATTGGCCGTTTTTATAGCCGGGCTTGGACTTTTTAAAACTCCGATATTTTTGGAGCCTTGCCGGTGACTCGTTGTTTTCAAGCCCGTCCTCAAAAAGGTCTGATCCGTCCATTTTACCAGTCCGTTTTCGATGCCGCTGGAGTGAATTCGGTGACCTACACTTTACCAAAAAGTAAGGACGTTAACGACAGCCCAAAAAAATCTATTTCACTGAGCACAAAGCCGAAAATTTTACAGTACAAAGTTAACTTCTTTTTCTCACAGTGCATGTCGCCGAAATAACTCCAGCGTTTTTCTAAACGGACTAGTAAAGACTTCCATCCCATGTGTCAGATAAGTATTGCTAATGCTTTGTCTCACTGTATTTTTCCAGCAAAACGACACAATTGATGAGGAGATGATGAGATATGTGGAAGAGGGACGCGCCGACACTATTGCCTATCCATTTCAAAGAACCCGATCGAGAACAGAACGAGTTCTATTCAGTCATAAGCTTTACACAGTATGTCTTATTTTTCTCGAAAAAATCATCATGCATCACGGAAATATTTTTTCGTATTTTAGGCCAAACTTTTTCTGTTCCATCGGCACTTCCACGAGAACGAAAGCAGACAATGGTCGTTTTTTCAAGTCTATGACGATCGACTGTGGATGCTGATTGGGCTGATTTTGCTGGCGCAGATGTTCTTTTATGTGTTCCACAATGCGGTCGAACATGGTTTGGATCTGAGGAGCATTGGAGATGTAGGAGATTTTAAAGATGTGGAATAACTCATCGAATTCTAAATACACTGTTTGCGGCGGTTTTTAAAGAAAGTTTTTTGCAAGAGAGTAGGCAAAATTATGAGACTGGAGAGAGTAATTGAAGAAATTCTCGAAGTTCGACGCTCAGATTTTGATGAAACTTGGCACAAGTCTACAGCTATATTTCCTATGAAATATGCAATACCCTCAGCTCGCGCGTTACTGAAGCTACCGAGATTTTTAGCCCGAAAGTTGTCAGAAATACAACATTTTTTTTCGAATTTTAACATTAAAAGTTTCATGCCTATGTTTAACTGGCAGAAAGATGGCCAAAAAGCGTTATTCTCTCTGACCACTCACCGTGTTTCGCGTGCTCTCTCGGCGGCAAAGGACGTTGAGTATTTCGACCGCCGTTGCAAAGTGCGAGCTAAAACTGCCAGGGTTTGATATTTGGCCAATACATGAAGCGTGTGCAAAATTTAAAATAAAATTTTAGCGTTGCAGTTCTCTCTTTAAAAGACAATTTTTTTAAAGCATATACTTATATGCTTTCAAAAGCTAGCTTACGCATTGCAGAAACAACGGAGATTTTGAGGTCGAGAGTTTATCTCTGAAAGATATGTCTTTCTTTTGGCGCAGAAATGAAGCTTCTTCAAAAACTCATTCGTTTTCGAGCGAAATTTGTAGGATTTTGGCCAAAGGAAGGTTAAAAAAAGAATCTGTTTGCTCTCGACATTTTATGCGCTCTCTCGCTGACAGATATCGCTGAAAATCTGTAAAGCGCATACAAAGATTCCAAGGGATTTTCATAATTTGCAATATAGATTTCACCATGTGTCAAAACCTTCAGGCTTTCTGGTACTCGATCCAAATCCACCTTGGCCGACCAGTTCAAGGGCAACATACCACGACTGCTGTCCGATTCAACATGGTTTCCGTCTCTTTTATGCATGTAGCCATTGTACTGGGATTATACAGTTCGTGGATCGTCTCTCAAAGGTTTCATAAGCATGATGAGCTGCTGTCCGGTTGGGCAGATGTATTCCAGGTAATTAACCATTTTGATGGCTCTGGAAATCTTGGATTTTCATGATTCTGATGGAATTAAGGACTGTGTTCTATCTTTTCAGCGGCTGGATAAAGGAAACATGTACTTGGCTCTTCCGAAAGACGACTTCTTCTACGAAAGGCTGATGGAAGCAGAGGCTCATCCATTCACCTCGTTACATGAGCTGTATCAGAGTAAGGAAAATTAAAATATGTACTAGTATTTTTATAAAGTGTGTAGACTTTTTTCCTCCTTTTATCGCAAATGCGCAATGAATTTTGCTTTTTTTTGCAAATTTTGGCATTAAAAGTTTTAATCCAATTTTTACCGTAGAGGTCAATTCTTCCCCAAAAAATCATTTTTTTCCGCTCAAAACTGGCAGAAATGCAACCAAAAAGTTTATTTCTTTCTGACCGCTCTCTGTGTTTTCCATACTCTCTCCGCGGTAAAGGTCGTTGAATATCTCGGCTGTCCATGCAAGGCGCTAGCTGAAATTTTCAGGAATTATTATTCTTGACATGCGTACAAAGTTTTTCAAAAAAATCCCACTTGAAAGCCTTCCCTTGTTAGCCACAAAAAGTCTACGCAGTTTTGAGAAATCATGGTACAGCGGGGGACCTGATCCAATGGCTAAAAACATACCATTTTGTATCCGGGAAGTATAAAAAAATGTGGCAAAATACCTCCCTCTCCAAGTGAAAAAAACGCTCTTTTTGTGAGGGAAAGGGCGCGCCCTCCTCCAAAATGAAGTTTTTCACTTGTAGGGGGAATCATTTTCCCACATTTTTGATGCTTCCGGGACGCAAAATCGTACGGTATTTGCTACTGGATCGGGTCTGTCACTGTAGCAAGCGATTTTCCAACATGGTCTTGCAGAAAAGCCCTCCATAATCAAGTTCTGCCCTAATCAGCGGGAATGCCTGAGCTGGGCCAACTCTTCGAACGCACTCTTCCCACTTCTCGATGAAAGCACTCTTCATAGGGCTATGAAATTTTACTGCAAGATTGTCCCACCGAAACATCCAATGCTGGAGATGAATGCCCGTTTAATCTTCAAGAAAGGCGATGAACAGTTGATGGAGAAGTTTGATGAGGCTATTCAGAAAAACGAGTTCATGCTGAAGATGATCCATAATCGATATGTCAGTCGGATTCAGGAGCCTCCTGAGCTGTGTCGAGAAAAGCCGTCAGGTAAAAGGGGGCTTTTTATTGGGTCATTTTATCAGTTTGTCGGGAAAATAATGAGCGCAATATCGCTTCGTGAAACGAAAAAATGGGACAGGGTGTCCACTATTTTCTCGACAGGCTGATAACTTGACCTTTCTGAGTAGTACCTTTCTCAGAAAGGTCAAGTTATCAGTTGAGCTAGAGCTACATTTCCAAGAGACGCTCTAAAACCTCCCGTATGCGCTGTTCTAATCCCAAATCTTTTTTATCGCAAGCTCCATCGTGCAATGTCACAGGCTCTAAACAAAATGAATACGGCGATTTTCGCTCCAAAATTTTCGCCATTTTATTCGAAATAGGGTTATCCGCATATCTGATTTGGGAGGCGAATTAAAAAGCGTCGGCGCATCTTTCGGACGCATCGGACTGCCGTGGAGAGTCGGGAAATGTCAGCAAATTCTCGAGTTTTCCGTATATAGAAATTAGAAGATGTACTGGATAGATACAAGCCTGGGTTTCGTCTAGAGCGGCTGACTCGTCTTGAACTTTGAAGGAATGAATGAATCATGAGATAAAATGGAATTTGTAGGGTGGTAAAAGCAGTAAGGCTCGACTTGGAATTTTCCATACTCCTTTATCAGCCTGTCGGGAAAATAATGAAAAAAGTGTCGCTGCGCCGATTGCGTCGCTGAAGTGAAAAACAATTTGATTTTGCCGCGATACAAGTCATGTCTTCGGCGGCGATGCAGTTTTTTAATGCGTCATATGCGCCTATTATCAGTCTGTCGGGAAAATAATGTGGATTTGTCGTGCCTTGGAGCCACCCATCATCGCTTTGTGACGGTTAGGCGCGGGATGGACATTTAGTGACAAGGCATTTTATTGCGACAAATTCACATTATTTTCCCGACAAACTGATCAAAGACGACTTCTTACTTACTGAATTGACCGAGGAAATATCATAAGAAGAAGTCGAATTAGAGAAAAGTGTCCTGAACAATAGCAAGAAATCGGCGTAAAATTTCGCTCTAGAAAAAGTTATAAAAGGGACTCAAAATGGTGTAAACCTTTGGTAAATCCTCTTAATTTTAATTTTTCAGTCGACCAACCCTATCAAGGGCTTTTTACGATCTACACCTGCTTGATGATCACCGCCAGTTTGGCCTGTTGCATCGAAATCCTTGTGGCTAAAAGGAAATGTACCCCAAATGCGGCGTTCAGGTCTAACTCTAATAAATGAAACTTGGCATAAATTTAGAGTTATTTTTTGGACGCATGCGAGAATGCCAGCTCGTTTTTGCGGAAACGTCCGAGATTTTTAGGTCAAGGGTTATAAGAAATGTAAATACTTTTTGCCAATTTTAATAGGAAAAGTTTCATGCCTATATAAATTTACTATAGAAGGTAATATTTCCACAAAAAAAATTATTTTTCCGCACGAAACTGTCAAAAGCGAAGGCTAAAACTTTCAGAAATTTTTATGTGTCATAAGCCCGATGTGTGTGCGATGTTTAACGAAAATCTGAACGTCTCGCTTGAGGTACCAATTCCATTATCAGATGAAAGGAAAACGGTTGAATTTTATTTTTTATTTACTTATCCAATAAACAATAAATTATTGGAAGTTTAATCTTTTTGGCAAACTTTTGGGGACAACGAATCCACATTACTTTCCCCACAGGTTGACGAAAACTGTATATTTTTTCGGCTGGTACGGCACCGCTACATAAATTTTGAGAAAATTACTTTTTTAGGGTGACCGAAAACATTGAGTTCAACCGTAGATAAATCAGCGCGAGCAGTGCGAAAAATGGAATTTAGCCGGGGACACCGACGATTTTTTGTAATTAAAAAATGGCGGCACTGTAGGCTTTGAACTTGAAAGTGGAATCCAAGAAGATTGATTTTATAATACGTAGTTCTCGATTTGGCCGATGGTTTTAATTCAAGATTGTTTGGCTTTGAAGGTTATATTTTATCCTATGTTCATCGTGGTCGAATTAGAAGGCTCACAGGGAAATTTTTATCGAACTGCGACGCTCAGATTTTGCCTAGCTATTGTGGTATTTTTATCATTTTTATCACTCTGTCGGGAAAATAATGAGCACTCTGTCGCATCAAAAATCGTATCACTGCCGAGAAAATGAATTGTGTCGTGGTAAAATCGAATTGCTTTTCACTCAGCGAGGCGATCTGCGCAGCAACATTATGCCCTTTTTTTTCCCGACAGACTGATATTTTCAAGCTTTGGGATCGAGAGAGAGCAATATTGGTATTTTCATAAAGTGCATGGACATTTTTCAATTTCGCGCAGTGCATTTTGAACCTTTTCCCACGCTTGTCGCAAGCGCTCTGTGCATTTTTCGTCATCTTGATCAGTCTGTCGGGAAAAAATGAGCTTAATGTCGCTGCGCCAGTTGTGTCGCTGAAGTGAAAGGCAATTTGATTTTGCCGCGATACAATCTATTTTTATATGCGGTGATACGATTTTTAATGCGACATTATGCCCATTATCTTCCCGACAGACTGACAACTTGACATTTCAGAAGATTAGTTGTGTTTTTTTTTCATTTTTACTATTGTCAAATGTCTGTTTTTTAGCGTACAAAGCTTGGTTGAGCACTCACGTCACCGCTGTTTATCGCTTCCTTTTCCAACTACACTCCTCGTATCAGCGATCAGCCTTAATCCGTTCCTCAAATCATGAGGGTTTGTAGGCTTAGTTTGGCTGTTACAGAAGTGAGCAAAACCCCTTGTTGATCGTTCAGTTTTGGTATCAGCTTTTGGTGTTTTTGGGATGGGGAGTGATATGACCTTGCTTCTTATTCAAACCTCCTAAAATACATTGATTTTGTATTTTACGACGAGAGAAAACAGCGGGAAACTCGTGAAAATACAAGGTGGACCACTCAAAACTCCCAACCTCTTTTCAGCTATTTCTCCGGCAATTATGCACCAATTTCTTTAAAATTTATACCAAATTGTAGCGGAGACACCCCATTACTCGCCCACTAAATGTAGCCCGTCTAAGTTCACGGAGGCAGCCGTACTGACCTTTGACATTTTCATTCCGAATTTTGGACCCCAAAACCGGTGAAACCTACAAGATTAGAAAAGATATTCTATTATATGATAGCGTCTGTTTTTTGTCTGTGAAAATGTAACGTCGTAGACAAAATCGAAGCGTTGCGCTTGAAGTTTTTCCCCGTTTATTCCATGCCCCAAACTTTAACTGTTTGCCATTCAAATCCGCGTGATCAGAACTGTTGCTCTCGAAAATGTTTTTGTCGCGTTGGGCTGGGATTTCCATTAATTTTCTCCGAATTTTATGCATAACCAGCTCAAACTAACAAGGAAAGTGCTCGAAATGAGATGCTCAGATTTTAATGAAACTTGGTACAAATTTAGAGCTATTTTTTCTATGGAATTTGAGAGATTTCTCTCTCACGGTTTGTAGAAACGAGCAGGATTTTTTTGGTGGAAAATTGACAGAAGATTGACTCTTTTTTGGCGATCATTGGGCACAAACAATTCATGCCTATTTCTACTGTAGAGTATAATGTTTTCACAAAAAATCACTTTTTTCCTGACGAAACTGGCAGAGATATAGCCAAAAAATGTTTTTTCACTTACCGCTCTCCGCATATCGCGCACTCTCTGTAAATCCGAATATCCAAATCTGACGAATCCGGAGGAATTCACTTATTCATGACCCATTTAATTTTCGAATTCCCTTTGGACCGTAAACTCCCTCACAATTCGCGGAAAAATTTTTAACCGGAAATTGCGGGTTGAATAGCAATTCATTATTTATCACCCATTTTCCGTTTTGAAACACCTTTTTTCGGTACATGAACTGGTAATTTAATTATTTTTTTTGATGATATGCATGTTGATTCACATGGTCTTTGGACGGGAATTTTTTAATAATCGATTTTTGACCTTTGAAGTTTTAAAGCGGTTTACTGTAGCATGCCTCTGTTAAAAGAGATAATTCGGGCGTAAAATACAACAAAAGTTTAGAAAAGAATTCGCTTCTTATCTTCTGTAGGCGATGATGACTTCTTGCGTCCATAAAATCAAAAATGAGTCAGACCGTCGGGAAAATAATGAGCACTCTGTCGCATCGAAAATGGCATTGAAAGTGAGTTGTGTCGCGAGAAAATCAAATCGTTTTTTCACCAAACTGTTTTTTCAGCATAGCGACAGTATGCTCTCATTATGTCCAGGCAAACTGAAATATGTTTTATTTTCATAAAGTGCATGGACAATTTAATTTTGGTCACTGTCCGCACCTTGCACAAAGAAAAACGTTTTCGGTTTTCGCACTGTGCATTTTGAAATTAGTTTTTTTCTCACTGTGCATTTGAAGTGTCGCTGCGACAAAAACAAGTTTTTTGGAGGTTTACATTGTGCAAAAAAATGCGCTGTGCGTTGGCGAAAAGTTCGGTAGGAAAAGGTTCAAAAGCACTGTGCGAAAGGCAAAAAATGTCGATGAGCTTTATGAAAATTCAAATTTACGTCTCTCGGGAAAGTAATGCGCACAATATCACTGCTCCGATTGCGTCGTTGAGCTAAATAAAAAAGCAATTTGATTTTGTCGCGACACAATTCATTGTCTCGGTGGCGATGCGATTTTTGATGCAACAGAGTGCTCATTATTTTCCCGGCAGACTGATAACATCAAATCGATGATGTCAACCAAAAAGCCGTGCATCTTTTTCATTTTATGCGCTTTGTCGTTTGTATCCGACTTTTCTCATTTTACGTGCAATTCCGCCGACTCTCGCGGAATTATGCCTCTAAACCCTCGATCAATCTTCCGCGCCGCTCTTCACGCGTCACCAATCATTTTTCGTATCTTGCTGTTGAAATGTTGTTCCGTCTACACTTACACTCGCATTGAAATGTTTCGTCGGGGTTGCTGTCGTTGAAAAAGGCTTCAACGGAACGTTCAAAGTTCCACAAGTCCATCAAAACGGCTGCTGACCGTTGTTGATGAATGAGCCCGCTAAGGTATCCCAAAAACGTGACTGTTTCCTGGGTGATTGAAAGCTTACAGCGTGCGCGTACGCAAGGTACGCCGACTCCATGTGGGGTGATTCCAAAAAAAGCTGCGAATGAAATTGAATGTTGCTGAAATTGGGTAAACAGGCTGGCGAGATTACAGTGTGGATGATGGATGGGATACAAAATTTGGAAAACTTGCGAGAAAGATTGTGATTTCCATATGCTGAGAAATTGCTGTACAAAGAACGAAGATACAATATAATAATTAATTTTGGTCTAAAATTGATTTCTGGCATTATTGAAATTGCTGGTTGTAGCTATACTCCCGGACATAAATTTCTGACCACCCATATCTCAAGTGAATATAACGCGATCACTTTGAAACTTGGCATGTGTACTAGTCATGACAGGCAGAATCTGCCACATAAAATTGTTTTTCGTGTCTCTGTCTTTAGGCGAGTTATGCCGATTTTCCAAAAATTGGTGGACAAAACTTTCTGATCACCTAAAATAACTCAAGTTTTCTCAGTCTCCTTGAGTAAGCGACATGGTTCCGTTATCTGAGGACACTACTTAGGGACCTACAAGGACGGTGGGTATGCTTTTTACCACTAAATTCGGTATAGGTTACGTTTTACGGGGGTCGTTGCAAAGATATTCCTAGCTGATGATCTACATATAGGGGAAATATAGCGGGCCCACACTTGCAGGAAACCACTTTGCGAGCGGCTAAAGAACTATGGATATTCTACGGGCATGTTTGCGAATCAGCCAACATTTGCTTGCAATAGAAAATTCAAACAATGGATTTGGCAGCTAGATGTTGCTAATAAAATTTCTAGATGTGCAAGTGGCTTGAATAGTCATCATAGGGTAAACCAGGCTTTTTTAACGGTACAGGAAGAATTTTTTGAAAACAAACTCCCATAACTTTGAAAGCGGTTTATGGATTCAATAGATTCGTGTACCTAAAAGTAACAATGAGTTGTCAATGCAAAATTTGTATCATACCACGTAGATTACGGGAAAAAAGGGTAATTTTGATCAAAAAATGCAGGCTGCCCGAAAGTGTCGCGAAGCCGGATATACCGCCAAATTTTTTTGCAAACAGCTTGTTGCTCTTTGTAGCTATTCAAAAACAATAAAACATACTTAAAATTTCAAGTCGTGCGGTTGTAGAACATGCCATATAATTATTCCCAGCCTCGGCGGAGAGACCATTTTTCGGCG